AGACGATGCTTCGACTAGGTTGCCACTCAAGTCATTAAAGGGCTCTCAGCCAAATTCTTGTAGAAGTTCATCGGGAACCCACACTCTTATGGGAGCAATATTAATCAACATGTTCGTATAGGCGCACACAGTAAACTTGACATTCCCTTCAAACTACTGACTCCATAAAAATTATCACACTTATAATTTTTACGAGCGCAATATTTATTAGTCCATCAGTTGTAGATATTTATAACTACATTTCCCCTTATCTACAGTCAAGGAATATTTCCCACAACCTTCTTACCACCTAATCCTCCCAATTCTTTCGTCGGATTACATTTTTTTCGAGTTGCTCCAAGAGTATCTTGCTTATTAAAGTCTGCTGTCGTAAAATGGTGGTGAACAATCGGTAATAAAGAAATATTGCCTAAAGGCATTGGTATCGTTCGCTTTCCGTTCTGAAATCAGGCTGAATTTGTGAATGCCACTCAGATGTGATTATGTTCAGATGTCTTGCAGCGCCTCGTAGAAATCGTTCGGCGGCGATTTTAGATTGCGATCTTTGCGAGTATAAGCGAGTCAAATAAAAATCCATTACAAACCCTGCTTAACTTACAAAATAGCCTTGCGCATCTTGGGAAACTTTAAGAAATCTAGTCTAGCAGGTAGTATCCCGTATAGCTGCCAAAACAGTCTTTTCTTGCCGACTGCTAGATACTGATTATTCCCAAGAATTGACCCCCTAGTTAAGGATTTTATCTTCTGATCTCATATTGTTTCGCGTTTAATGGAGACATTCCTTTGTTTTATGGACCTTCTAGAAGAGTTTGTAGCACACTCCCCTGGCGTTGTGACCTGTCTCGCAATGGGCCACAAGTCAGCTCGAGTGATGGCCACCGGTGGCGAAGATCGTAAAGTTAAGCTCTGGGCAGTTGGCAATCCCAGCTGTATTATGAGTCTTGGTGGCCACACTTCCTCCGTTGATTCCGCTCAATTCAGTCAAAATGAGGACTGCATCGCTGCCGGTTCTCTCTCAGGCTCTATTCGCGTTTGGGATCTAGAACAGGAAAAAAGTTAGTTTTTTGCTTTCCTTGAAAATAAATTTGCATAGTTGATGTTTTT